CTATTACATAGGTTAATAAATCACTGTATTTTTTATATACTGACATTATTAATGTGAGAATTATTACAGTAGTAGTAGTTTACATAATTTATATTAGTTTTCTAAAAGTTTTGAATTACAAAAAAAATATTTTGTGGATCCATCTGTGGACAAAAAACAAATGTATGTACAGTAAGTCCTATGACATGTTTAGCTGAGCCTATCACTTTTCACACTGTACCACACCCACTGTATATTTCATATTTATATCAGCTTTAACATCAGACTGAGGACTAAAGCATGGCATGTCTGATTCATAACACTCCAAGATCATGAGTACATAGGGGTAGGCATTGCATGACAAGTTGAGGATACCTTTACTGATTAAAGGCCATCCAACCCTTGTAGAACTCATCTACTTGATCCCTGCCAACCTGAGAAGAACAGTGATGATCTTAAATGAGCAAATTTTACTGTAGATTTACTGTAAAATAAACATGGACAACATTTTACCAGACATTTTATTTCAAATAGAAGACCACAGTTTTAAAATGTGCATGATGACACCCTATTTTGTAGTTATCCTGCAGAGATTGGGCACTTTGTATTTCAAAGCATCCAGGCATATACTGTAATATCCAGAAGCTGTATCACCCTGCAGCTCACAACCCACTGGAGCTCAGCAGGTGTGAGCCTGGTCAATACCTGGATGGGAGCCCTCCAGGGAAAGCTGAGGTTGCTGCTGGAAGAGGTGTTACTGGAACCAGTCAGGGACGCTCACCCTGTGGTCTGTGTGGGTCCTTATGCCCCAGCATTTTGACTAGGACACTGTACTGTAAAAAAAAGGTGATTTTTGGATGAGACATAAAACAAAGGTTCTGACTCTCCTTGGTCATTCAAAATCCCAGGGCTTTTCTTGAAAAGAGTAGGTGTGTAACCCTGGCATCCTGGCCAAATTTCCCTCTGGCCTTTACCAATCGTGGCCTCCAAATAATCCCCATCTATGAACTGGCTTCATCACTCTGTTCTCCTCCCCACTAATGTGTGGTGAGCGTACTGTGCGCACTTTGGCTGTCATCACATCATCTAGGAAGGATGTATTCTGTATTCTAAATGTTTTGTACTGTTTATTTTTACGTCTGTACCATTTTGCAATAATGTATGTGAGCATTATTGAAATTTTTAAATCTTATGATTTAAATAGGGTACATTTAGACGTCCTCCATAGACCCTAATTAGATAGATAGATACTTTATTTAGTATAGATACTTTAATTAGACGGCAGTAGCATCATCTCTGTTTTTTGTTTATGATATCTTGCTAAATTTCTTTTCTTGTACTCGGATTTCCAAACTGACAATATAAATCTAATTTAATATAAATCTTATCTGAGGGTGTTATGAGTGGGGAGCTGCAAAGGAACTGGCAGAACTTTACTCCATCTGAACTTTGCTTCAGGTTTAAAGTTAAACCTGAAACAGGCTCCACAGTAGAAGTTCACTTTTCTGGATGGAACTGATCTGCTGACTTGAAATTTGATATAATTAATTATATAAGGATACAGTATATCGATCCATGTCAGCCCAGGGTTTATCCCAGGAGCACAGAACTCAAGAATGAGATGCACAACAGCAGACACAGGGACAATATAGAGACACCAGCTAAGCTATCTAGGCTTTGGATTGTGGGAGGAAACCAGATCACCCAGTGAAAACCCACCTGCACATGGCAGAGTGCACAGGAGTACCCAGCTGACCCCATTTCAGAATCAAACCCAGGACCAAGAGATGTCTGGTAGCACTGCTAAAAGCCATAGCACCATACTGCCATACGTAGTGGTATGGTTTTCAAGAGTGGTATGGTATTACAGTATATCCCAGTCATATTATTTCTAAATAAATGTATTAATCTGCTTGTAAGTGTATTAAAATAATAAAAGTGGAGAATTGCCTTTATGAATATGTAACCAAAAGCAGTCACATATGTTCTATTTATACATGTAACCCGTAAATTGGAAATGTACTTAAACAAAGCTAGTCCCAGTCCCTGAAATGGCTAAATCAAGTAAATAGGTACAATTTCAGATCAGTCACATGCAGTTATTCTATCTTTATCAAAAGTTTATTTAAACCATCTGTTGCAAGATGTTTTATTATTCCAAACTGCAATGTGGTGTTTTAAAAGTGATGTGTTTAGAAATATTTTGCAATTGTAACGCATTTTATTATTTAATTTATTCTGAAATTGGTCTCTTTTTTCTCAAACATTAACTCATTATGCAATATGTTCAAATAAAGTAGACAAATGCACAACTACTGTAATTCTTCATGTTTTGTATTGTTTAAGCTATTGTAAGAAGCCTCAAAGAGTTTACATAAGACATTCAGAACCGAAACATTGCAGTTGGAAACATTTCTTATCTTAAAAAGCTAATTATGACTTATCATGGTACTGCTCAAAGTGTTTCCTATGGCAAATTATTCCGGAAACTGCATTACAAGTTTTTGACCAAAGTGCTGTTTTGAGTTTTAAAATAGTCACTGCATTCCCTTTTATCTATATTGGTATTCAAGCTGAAGATTACTAAAATCATTAAGAGCTTTTTCTATGTGGAGTTTAGTTTCACATATTACCAAAAAAGTGTTTTTATTTATATATGCCAATGACATGCATTACTGTAATATTGATATTGCAACCTCCTGATTCAGAACGTACTCATAATATCAGTGATATATCTTTTTTTCTGGTGCATTAGGTAATATGTACTCTGTGGATAACTACCTCCTTATGTTGATTTTTTGATAGCAACACCATTTGTACTTAATCTTTTAAAATATTTTTGTTGAAAATGTCTATGCTTTATTACAATGCTTTCTACTAGACCTAAAAATAATATTTTCATGTTATCTTTAAGTACCAAATTTTGTGTGCTTTGTAAGGGTAATTTAAAGTTGATTATAATAATGTTTTAAAATATATATAGTAGTTTTAATTTCATTCAAAAAAATAATTTTCTATAATTCTCTATAGCTAGCTGACTGTATTTGTGTCAAATGATAGGAATTTCTTTTCAATTTGAGCATCACCAATTATTTTGTTTTAACCAACCAATCTGGAATAGCCAGTTTTATGTGTCTCACATCTCAGCAGGCAGCTAGAAACCCCGTTACCGCACACAGGGGAGAATGAGGAATTTGTTGGCAGACTCCTCTGACCCACCCACCTTCGAGCCAGATCTCTTTCAGCGTGTCACAGGCAACACCAGCCACTTGGCTCCACACTGGCGGTAGCAGAGGCTGCAGGGAACACTGCTGAAATAGAAACAGAATAATTCCATCCTACCTTCAGAAGTGCTCAGCCAATTGTGAGCCTACCCCTGGGGAAGCCCAGTCATAGTCAGCTAATGAGCTTGAACCTGTGATTAAAAAGCCTAACCTGCCTTAAACCGCATTCAAGCAAGTGACTTTAGTGGTTGTGTCAATCAGGAGGCCCTGAATGATAGGATTTCTTATACAATTCCATCAGCTGAATTCCACAAAGAGACATGTTAAAAAAACACCTGTTGCTTTGCTTTTCAGTATGTACGTTTAATGGAAGCCACATAGCACCAATATTTATGAAATTGAAATTTCTAGTCTTCTAGTTTCAATCATGAAATTGTGTTCTAGTTTTCCTTTAAGTCTGGATTTTGAGTCTCCACAACATCTTTTATTTGACTTTTTGTGATATATATGTTTTAAATACCATTGAATTATGCAGCTGTCATATAAAAACATATATTTTCACCAGATTAAAAATGGTTCGTCAAAGATAACTTGTACATGGTGTTTGTTGTTTGTTTATTTTCAAATGATGTCAAGAGACCAAAAAGAAAAACCCTTACAAATATTGTGGAGAAAAATGAAATTCTATGCTAATTAATGAGCCAGAAGTAGAGGAGAAGCATCTAAACCAGGTCATCTGTTTAAAGGGAAGTCTGTGAAATACATTATGCAGATCACACATAACGCATTTCAGTGTTTTGAAATAAAGCAGAGTGAGAAAATGCTCTTAAAGCTATATTTTAACTAGCTGTATGACTTTTGATTCACAAATGATATTTGCCTAATTTGTAACTCCTGCTGATATTAAATAAGGCATTACTGTCAACAAGATGCCTCATTTCAGTAGGTTAACAATATGTTTTGAGAAACGAAATAGAAGGTTATCACCTTCCAGCCTAATCTTGCAATCTTGGAAGCTAAGCAGGGCTGGGAACAGTCAGTACTGGGATAGGAAACCATAAGGAAAACAGACCCAGTGCTGGTAGACCAGTAGGTGGCAGCCTTCCCTCTGGACTAGAGTATCCAAACAAGTATGTTGTCAGGGGACGCTGTTCTATAAGTAGTTGCTCTCCAGATGACACAATAAACCAAGATCCTGACTACTTGGTCATTAAAGATACCATGGTACAGTATAGTACATGCGAGCAGGGGTGCTAACCCTGGTGTCCTGGCAAAATTTCAATTTAGTCTTATACAATCCCTAAATTTCACCCGTAGTTTAAATCAATGGGCTTTTCACACATTCATTTGGTTAAAGAATCTCTCACTTCTTCACCTAATGTGCTTTGGTGGGGCTGCTGAGACAGAACGACTGTCACCAAGTGGGTGCTGCGTTTCAGAGGCGGATGAAGTGGGCCTCCATTTGTATGTGATGAATTTACAATCTTTTGGGATGCAAAGTGTGATACAAATGGAAGTACTTTTAATTAGCTGTTAAGCTGTTAAGTGTAATGAAAATCACAGTTCATTGGGCATATGTACCTCACAAGCAATGCTTTCACAGTTGCTGTTTTCACAATTTATTCTTTAAATTCAGTTTTGAAATATGATGGATGCAAAGCAAAGGCTTTTTAAATTTGAAGATTATTTAACATTGCAAAATGGCTGTAGTGTTGGACGTCTGTCACTGTTCCGTGTCCTTTCTTTGCCATCCTCTTGCTGATCCTTGTCAACTTTTGCATTTGCTTTTATTTGCAGTTGTTTATGGTGGACAATGGTGCAGACGACTGGAGGATAGCCATGACGTACGAACGAATTTTCTTCATCTGCTTGGAGATATTAGTGTGTGCTATTCATCCAATTCCTGGGAACTACACATTCACATGGACAGCACGCCTTGCCTTTTCCTACACCCCATCCACGGCGTTGGCTGATGTGGATATTATACTGTCCATACCAATGTTTCTCAGATTGTATCTCATTGCCAGAGTAATGCTGCTGCACAGCAAACTTTTTACTGATGCCTCATCACGAAGCATTGGAGCACTGAATAAAATAAACTTCAATACCCGTTTTGTAATGAAGACATTAATGACAATATGCCCAGGAACTGTGTTGCTGGTTTTCAGCATCTCACTGTGGATAATAGCTGCATGGACCGTGCGAGCTTGTGAAAGGTACGTTATTTTTCTCTTTATAGTATCAATTAATGAGCACAGGGCTTGCAGTATGATCGAAAGTTTAAAGAAGCAGTAAATCATATAACCTTTGAATTGCTAGGAAAATTGCTAGGAACTAGGAAAACTCTGTGTTTTGTGAAAAATACTTGTTTTTGATTCTTGAAAAGCGAGTGATTTTTCATCAGAAGATCTGAAATAACTTGAATTTCTAAAACGTTCGGTGGATTTATGATTACACTAATGCAAAGGCTAGATGTAATGGATATATTTAAACATCTGCACTCCTTGGAAACCAAAAATAAATGCTTCCCAAATTAACCTGACCACTCAAGTACATAATAAACAAGTTTAAATTGGACTTTATGATGCAGTGAACATATAGTTACAGATAGTTACCCAAAGAGGAAGATTAAAAAACACTGCAGGAACTGCAAAGAAAATGTAAGAAGACAGAATTCAAGACAGGGCAAACACGTGGCATCTGAGAGTTGCAGAGTGTTTAGATAAAGGAAACATAAACTAAATATAAGAAATAAAAATACTGATTTAAAAAAACTACAGATTAAAAAGTAGAACAATTGTTTAGATGGATTTTCAACTTCTAGTCAATGTGGCAATGAAGTAAAAAAAATAGAATCGTCCCATTTAGAGAATTGTGTGCCTCTTTTGGACACCAAAGTGCAAAAAAATATATAGTACTGCTCAGGGATCAGCACGTTAAAGAATGATCATGTTTGTTCACAGGCTTGAAGGAATATTCAGCACTGACAGGGTAAAAGAACAGAACATTTGTAGTCTTGAAAAAAATATGTCTAAGAGGGAACACGATTCAAGTATTCAAACGTCTCAAAGGAGTTGTCAAAGTAGACCTTATGTAATTATTCAGAATCAAGAATGAAACATGAACCAGAAGACGAGTGGAAGTGCTTTACTAAGAGGAGCTTTTTTCACACAAAAGGTTGTGGAACGAGATACCCAGCCACGTTGTTGAAGCCGATACCCCCGTTTCTTTCAATAAAATGTTGGATGAGCTCCTTGAATCACTTAGCTAATAAAAACCAAACAAGATAGATGGGTCCAACTGTATCCTCTTGACTGCAGGCTTGTTCTATACGTATGTTTTAATTAAATTATTCACAATCTGCAAAGCAACCAGTCATGTTGTTGAAACTGATCACCTTGCTTCTTATAAGAAAGAACAAAGATGGGTGGATGAAATCCCTCAGATCAATTAGCTATTGGGTACCAAATGAGTATGATTATCAGTAATGTTTCTTATGTACCTAAGTACTGTGCAAAAGGCAATCGTGCTTTCCAATATTGACACATTGTCTACACAACACTAGCTAAATTGTATGGGAAGGAACAGAGTAATTAATAACTAGAGTTATTTATATTATGTTGGAAACTTCACAAAAATAACACTGTAGTTACCACAGTTACAAATGCTTTGTCTAGTTACTATATACTGTAAACTTTTTCACCTCCTTACAGTATGTTTTCCTAGAATTCCATTATCTTAGATGTAGACCTGGGGATTGATTGAGTTCTCTGTCATATAACATTGCAAACGTCTACTGTAGTGTATAATGATAGGGTTCCTTGGTTCATTGTGCAGTATTGTATTGTAGCTCAGTGAGTTGCTTCTTTCACCAGAGCACCAGAGTTTTGTATTCAGTATTTTTCGATATTTTTGTGAGATTTGTCCACCTTTAAAGGATCTGTCAGACCTTTATAAATAGCTTATACACACACAACTTAAAGTCTTGCTTTGGATACGTGCAGTACATGTCACTAATTTGGTGCAAATCAGTGTAATTCACACCTATACTTATACACTCTTGTAAGTCTTTGGTTTTTGGAGAATGATTGGAATAATTAATATAACAACCTGAATTGATTAAAACATGTTACTGTTGAAGCAGGCTTTTGAGAAAATAATTGACTTTCTCTTAATATATGTTGTGAAATGTATGTGGGCTATTTCTGTATTTAAGTCTGCACATTACACGTACACCTAATTCCTGGAAAGCATTCAAAGGAACCATAAAGTAGGACATAGAAAATGGTACACAAAGTGAAGAATCCAATTTAGTGAGAAAAAGATAAATACCACAGATGGATAAAATACCTTAAAAATCATCACAGAATTATAGGCCTCATCATGTACCATTTAACAATCATGTTCCAGCAATATCTTAAGACACATCTTGGCAATGGACACTTCAAGAATATTATAAATTCCTTTGCTCATGGGATGCAAGTCTTTAAAAGCAATTATTTGTAGTTTAAGTCATGAATAACACCAATGTCAAGAAAACATTTTAATTTTGTCCTGGGTATTATAATCTTAAGGCCAAACTTGAATGTGACTACTGGGAATTGTTTAATTGCATAGAAGAAACACTTGAAATGATATTTATAAGGCTTCATATTTAATTTGCACAAATGTAAGAGGTACTTAACTGTATCATAACACGTGCGTTTTGTTATCCAAAGCAAGTCTCCCTTTTTTCTGATTTGTTCCCGATACTGTTTTGATTTGCACATGGTTTTATGTATTTCCTCATTTTGCATTCCTTTTTCATTCATTTTTGGAGAGTACTTGTTTATTTTCTGTCACAGATCTCATCTCGGGTGCTTATAGAACCATACATTTTTACAAGTCCAAAAGGATGCAGTTTTACATACAATGATTAGAAAGGAGAGTGAGCTGGTTTTGTTATTTATGCTGAGTTATTTTGTTATTTATACTCCTTCCATTTCAGTCAAATCATAGTGTAAACATCCAACACTTTTTTTATAGGTTTACTGAAGAAGGGACATATCTAGGATGAGTATTATAAAATGTTCATTTAAATGTTTTTGATTAATTAACTTCATAAGTAAAAAGTAAGAAAAATATATTTTATGCTCAATGCTAGGTTAGAAGATTCATTGATTGATTGAATTTATGTACTGTAGTATTCTCATCTCAAAGTATTTCTAAGTTCTTTACATATAGGATTCAGTACTGAAGTGCAGTATCGACCTTGGTGATGTATGGCTGCTAAAATACGCTATTAAACCCATCAGGCAGATCATGCAGTGAAGTGAGAAATTGCTTCAGCAATTGAATTAAGGGGGAACTTAAAGAACACAGGGCTATACAATCCCAGAGTGAGATTTATCCTGGACATGGGGGTTAGCATCCTTACTCTTAAGAGCACTGCCATGAGCTCCTTAATGATCTGTTAGCTGAATTACCTCCTTTATTGTCCCACATACAGATTTGCTTTTCAGGCAGGTAAAAGATAATACATTGAACACAAACAACATTGAATCCATTAACAAACAGGAAACATACATGCATAAGATGAGCAAAACAAGTCAGAAGGTTAAGTAATCTTCGCAATTTAGAATAAAAATAAATTGGCTTACCAGTGTGTGAGATACAGTAGATCCATAAGATATGTGCATGATAAAAAAACAATTAAAACATAAAATATTTCTCTTGCCACAATACTGGTGCATTATTTTTGGGAATTCTGGTCAAGGGGGAAGAACATCATCTACATGTACAGTGTTGATCCACCTGCACCCGTTGTAACAGAAACCTGCTTTTCCTTAGAGGGCTCCCTCCCAGTTCTGACCTGCTTCAGCTTGGCTTCTAATATCTGACAAAATTTAGGCTAGAAGCTAACATTATACTTTAGTAAAATTTAGTCTTTCCAGTGTTTGAACCGGCCCAGAGTTAGAGCTACGACCACCCGTCTGGGAATCCTGTTCTTGACAATCACAACGTTTTATGTAAAGAAATGTTTCAGAATCGCTGTTCCGAATTAATCCGAATTAATTACCTTATAGTTTACATTTGTGACATGTCCTTATTCTCCTACAGTGTTAAAGAAATCCCATGGGTTGACCCCCATCTATGCCACTTAGAATGAGGATTAAATCACCTCTTGATCTCCTTTGTTCCTGACCAAAGAGATTTAGTTCCTTTAACCTGTCTATATATCACAATACAGATAAGGAGCCCATCTAGCTGATTTTCTTTGAACTATTCCTAAAGCTATAATGCCCTGTTTGTGGTTGGGGTTAGTGTTACAATTGATCACAATATTAGAAAAAAGGTCTAATATAATACAACCTTTTAACACTCAATCTAAAATAATTTAGAGAGAGTAATTATTTTAAATTAAAAAATCCCTAGCTGCTAATGTTACGGTAGAGTACAGAATTTTCATCAACTTTCTAACTCTGTTGCCTATTTTATATTCCTCAAAGAATAATAAATACAGTATGTCAACTGGAATGGAAATCCAGCAGTGTGAAACGCCTGTTGCTGTTTTTTTCTTATTTCAGTGACACATATTTGCCATTTGAGAGATTTTTTAATACATAATAGAAGCCAACCATATGTTCTGAATTAGGCCACATTTGTATAGGTGGAGCAGTTTTAACAGTCCACAACTTGAATGCTAATAAGGTTAAAACAGAAAAGCTGAAATTAGGTTAAAAGCAGATTGCAACATAAAAACAAACAATTCCAGGATATACACGGTGAAGGAATCTGCTTTTAACATACATTTAATCACGTTAGCAAGTAGAAGGGAAATAGGTTGTCAGCACATTGTGCTGTAGCTTTATTAACTGAACAGACTGGAAATAAAACATAGCTGAGATAAAAAGGGTGCCACATCCCTTGCAGAACCACTGTGGAAACAACAACATCAAAGCAAAACTTGACAGTGAGTTTTTTTCTTATGCTTTTCTTGGTGTAGCTATAAAGGTATATTGGAGAATAACTAATAAAGGATTATTTTCACAGAACAATAAACGTGTATTTATCTTTCATTCTCAGAATTATGTGTTAAATGGTGACTTTTGCTGATTGAGAACAATTTACCTCACAGATCATTTATTTACCATATCTGGTGTTTTTGTTTTTCAAACCAAAATGTCCCTCAATTGAGACATATTTTAAAATTCTACCCTTTAACTCTTTTATAAGG